GAGCAGGCCAGACCTGGGCTAGATGCTCCTCTCAGGCAGGCCACAGGCTGCTCTGGCTGTGCTGGTCCCAAAGCTGGCAGGTTGAGCACAGTTCAAACTCCAGCGGAGCGGAGAAGGGGAATGTTGCGCAGAACAGCCCACAAACATATTATTTTCTGAAAGATCCTTCCAAATTCTGCCACAGCAAAAGCTTGCGACAGCGTCAGACACGGTCCCCTCTGCATCACCCAGGCAGCCAGGCCGCTCAGCCCAGCATCCAGCTCACCTGGGAAATACCACCCACAAGGAAGTCAGCAGACTCTGCTGCTGCAGGACCAACTTGTTCCCAAGGACTTGCAAAGAATCCTACTCTCCAACAAGCCTTAGCTGCACCTTAAACTATTTCAATAAGAGGTGATGATTTTTGAAGCGTTTATATCAGTGAATCAAACTCATGTATTTTTTGGTTTTGTTCCCATTCGGGTTCAGCAACTCTGTTAATCCAGTTCAGGCTAGTAGCAGTTTAAACTGGTTCATGCTGGAAGCTATAATATTTTTTAAACAAAAAGGACTGTGTGCTACCCACAGCCAGAACATTAGCCCACATATCTTGTGTCCAGGATGGCCTGTGGTCCTAGCTGAGCCCTGCAGCCCCTAAGGGTGATGTGTGGGACTGAGGAGCTGAAGAACTGTGCTGGGAATGCAAGGGGCACGGGAAGGCACGACAGGTCTAAAGCTTCCATAGATCATCTTCCCTCATAAATCTGGGCCTGTGCACACACATGCTCACAGGCAGGACACAGAGGCATATTCATGTTTCTGCTGCCCTAACTAGGGAGCTGCCATCAGGCAGATGGGAATTCACAGGCTGGCAGTAAGAACGCACAGCTCCTCGCCAAGGGAGGACAGGAAACCCTATCCCACTAGAAGCAGTTCAGTCAGAGCTCATTTTCCAAACAGCACCTCTCAGAAAGGTTTTGCAGAGCCACGCAATCCAGCTCAGCATGATGGAGCAGAAGCAAGCACCCCAGCTGCACAGCTTGCAAGACGTTTGATGAGGGAGAGGCCACAATACAAGAGTCCCCGTGCTGAATGCATTCCTGCTGGGGAATGTCAGGTTTTAGTCAAGCCACTGATCTAAATTGGCAACTTGAAATGTTTCTGGCTCAGAAAAAAGGAGAGATCATGCAAACAAGCAGCAAATTCCAAATGTTCTTCTCTGACTCTTTGGCTTACACTTGTAGGGTAAAGCCTGCATGCAGTTTTGCAGCAATTTGTTTCTACACTGACATTCATAATCTGGTTTGATTGATGACCCTCCCCCACTAAAACAGGCACAGCTGTTTCAGTTTAAAAGATGCTTACAGCTACAGGAGTAGAGCCTACCAATACAAACTACCCCCTTAGGAACTATTCCCGCTCAGGTACAATCGCTTCTGTAAGCGGATAGATTTGCGTACCCAAGTTGCAGGCTACCACTGCAACCACAACATCTCAGCAATAGGAGATGGCTCAACAGCCTGTCTTTGAAATGAGATCTTTCTAACTCTTAGTTTCCCTGCTATCCTGCCAGTGCCTCTAGCCCAGGGTGATCAATGCAGATTCACAGGCATCCCATTCCCAGCTTTTAATTCTGTGTCTGTACTGGAACTATAAGCACAGTGACCAGATGCACAGCTGGGTTTCTGGTAGGCCTAGCAATCCTCTAGAAACTGAACCCAGGCCAACCAACTGGTCTGGGGGAAATTTTAGCTTTCAGCCTCCACCTTGACACGTTACCAATCCAAAAAACAACAGGCCAGGAGGTAAGTCACCGCACTCTAGGTCTGCATTGGTTCAATTCAAAAAGAGAGAGATGTGGAGAGGAAGGGAGAAATGGATTAATATATCAGACAAGACACACAAGAAAAGTCTTATCACAGAGCTAGTCACACAACAACAAAAGTCATGATTCCAACAAAACAAAAGTTGATTTAAAATGTTGTTTTAAGAAGTAGCAACAAACCTAAACATTATATGCAATTTGTCAATAAGCTTTGCTTAAAGATCTTCTGTTCCTTCCTCTTATTTATGTTTTTAAATATCCACAATTAGGTATTGGTTCCTTAGTTTTACTCCTGTAGAGATCTCCTTGAGGCAGTGGAGTAGAACCATGCATTACTTACAAGCAAAGAATAAGTGCTAACAAAAATAAAAGCCAAAAAACAAGTTCTCTCTTGTACTGCTCCCAAGTAACACATTGCATGTCCTGCACAGCCCTCATGCAAAATATCTGTACTTACCCACACTCCCCCCCTCCAGAGCACTGCACAAACAGGTCTCAGCAGAGCCAGCCTCCCACAGCCTGCCCGCTTCCAACCCAGCATTACAAGGCTGCTTCACGAAAAGGAGCCAATTTCCAGAGAGCTTCTCTTCAGTGTGACAAACTGCCTGAGAGGTCTGTCCCTAACCACTGAGACAGCCTGGCAAGTCTCACACAGCTCAATGAAAGAGCGAGGGGGTCTTCCCCTTGGGGGGGGGGGGGGGGCAGAGAAGCACACCACCACCACCAATACCACACACACACCCCCCACAGTTCATGAAAGCCAAGGCTGTGCCACTGAGGCTTCTCATCCATCTTAAATTGAGCTGCTGGCTGCAATAAAAGCCTGAACAGAGCTCTCAACAGAGGAACCACAGAGCTGCAGAGGGCTCACTCTTCATCCGCACGTACAAAGCACAGTTTCACCTTTCAGGCATGTATCTAGGGCAACAGTCCTGCTCCGTCCTACGCAACCAAGCAGCATTCAGCAGGGATGACCAGCCAAAGCTAGAAATCCCACAGGCCCTTTCATGCTTCAGGATTGCCTGATCCATGACACCAGAGTCTCATATATCTCTGAACAGACATTTCTCAAAAAGTCCAAGAGACGTCATTGAAGACGTCTGGAAAAACCCTTCCCACCTACAGCAGGTCAGCAAAGATCCTTCAAGAGAGATGTGTATTATGCTCGGTTTCAGCCCCAAGGGATTTATACTCATGCCAACTAGCAAACAGAGAGGATCTGTTTCCTGATATTTTAGAAGGGTAGAGCTGCTTCACCTTGGAAGGTAGAGGAGCACACACATGGCAGAAGAAGCATCTCTACAGATATCAAACAGGGGAAGCTCTTCTGCTGGACCCGTGACAAAGGGCCTACTTCCATTTACCTCACCCACCCCAGCCATCCCACTGAAGGCAGGCCACAACTCATTTGAAGAGGACTCAGAGAGCAGACTGCTTTGGGAAACCACCACTAGCACCTAACACACAGGATCTCATGATGGCAAATTGCTCCTAGCAGCACTGTCTCCAGAAGAAAACGGTATCAGGGAAAGTGCCCTAAGAAGTCACCCTTACTGCATCACACTGCTGCTTCTTCGCATCTCAGCGATTAACTGTTCTTGCTATTAAGATACAAAAGAAAAAAAAAAAATCAACCCTCCAGTGCTAATTTGATGCTGTGGAATGAACCAGTGATGTCCCCAGGGGATCAGAGGGTCCTGGCTGCACACTGGGAGATGCCACAAGGGATACAATGGAGCTTTTCCAAAAGGCACGCATGCAAGGAAAAAAGACAAACAGGTACCACACAGGACCTGGGGTTTACGGCAGCAGATCCCAGGTCTGAAGAGGAGTGGGCAGAGCTCAACTCCACTTTACAGACCCAGAACCTAAAGCTCCCTGTACACTTTGGCACAGGTGGCTTTTGGTTGTTTTAACAAAGGTCTCTGTGCAACACAGATCAAATAAACTCTTCAGCAACAGACGCAAAGCACGTTTCACTGGCAGGACCCAGGCCGTATTAAATGCAGCACATGCATGCATACACCGAGGTCATGCACAAGCACCAAGGACTCTCCTCTAGATAACTTTGAGGAAGCTGAGCAGGTTTTTCTCTTGCTTGGCAAGAGAGGAAAGAGAAAATTAAAAATTGAGTTCCTTGGGATTGAGCAGCCATCTCTGGGAACCTCTCACCTAAACCAGAGCTTTGAGAGCAGAATTTCACACTGAGGACAGACCTTTTAAAGAAAGTGTCATTTATTTTCCCTGCAGTTTAACACACTGTCTTCACTCCAGCAGCTACACTCTTGAAGCACTACTGTTTTTAGACAAACAAATGCACTTTGCATTCACGGATTACAAGCATTTTCTTATTTATTAAGAAGTCCTCACAAGGGGGAGGGATTAACCTTACCATTTATGGGAGAAACAGAAAAACATAAATAAAAAATCTGCCCAAGGTTACAAGTGAATCAGCGACAGAGAAGTAGGCCCCCTGACTCAAAGGCTCCTTCTGAGAGCACAGGGCAATGCCCCTCAGCTTCTCTTCTCCTCTCAGCTGAGGTTAAGGCACCCTCTTCACCTCCCGACATCAGTCAATTCCCAGTGAATGACTGTCTGTCAGGAATTCTCTGTGACACCAAGAATGATGATGAATTACGGAGGCAGAAGTAAACATATCCCAGACAAGACGTTCCCAGGAGAAGGGATGCTTTAGGCTGATGCACCCACAGAAAGAACATGGAGGAAAGCTCAGCTGGAGTGCAGTCCCCATCTCAACAGTCACCTCAGAAGAGTGTCTTGCGCTTTCCATCTTTCAAGCCACCCTACCCTTCCTCATATACCTGCAGCATACTCCTTCCTAGGGGCAAAGAGCAACTGCTTCACCCAAAAAAACTGCATGCACCAGAACATGGGAAATTGATGAACCAGTTCATTATTTTCCCCCAAAGTTTTCCTGTACAATAACTTCAGAGTGAGTACTTCCAATCACATACAACACAGGCAAACACATCACTTTTCTGAAAAGAGACCTGGGCTTTAGCAAGATTCGACAGCACAGCTAAGATCCCAGCTGAAAGACAGACTACAGCTACAGCATCAGTTGCTTTGCAGGACACAACAGTTACACCCGGTCTCCTAAGGCAGTATTTTTAGTACAGAAGGGACCTTAGGTAACAAAGGTTAAAGCCTGCCGCCAGCACCACAAAGCACTCACCTTATTGCCTATATCTTCACGCTTGTTCCCAGGCTTGCTTCTTCTCAGCTTAATGGAAGGGGAGCGAAGCAGGTTTCTGATCCGACTTGTTATTGTAGACCCTTCAACCGACATCATCTCCAGGTGCCAAGAGGGTATTACCCCCCACACACAAACTGTCCCCGAGGAACAAGCCCAGGTACTGATGTGCTCAGCCTTGCTTATGCTTGTTCACATATCTCTCAGCAATTCTGCTCAGGGACTCCACTCCTGCTTCACTGCAAAGCTATTCACAGAGGCTGGCAGAATTTCCTTCTGCAGATTCCAGAGGATCAAATCAGCAGTAATCTAAGCTGCAAGATACAACCATGGGTCAATAAGACATTTGCAACAGATTTTAGTCTTTTAGCCTGCTCTTCGCAAAGAATGGCGAACGCAGGAGTTGAGGATAAGTGCAGCGTCGCTTATTCTCAGAAGCTTCTACCAAAGAAGAAAAAGTCATTATTTTAGTTCCGATGAACAGATTTAAAACAATTCACAGATCTAAAATTCTGATACCCTTCTTCCATCCCAGCTTTCAGGACAGACAGAAAAACGCCCAACCCTGGAGTCCACTAACGGGCTCCATCCAGCCGCCCAACACAAGCGGCCCGCTGCGCCTCCGGCTGGGCAGCACAGCCCTGCGCCTCGCCGCCCGCTCGCCCAACACGCAGGGGACGAACGCGCCGCAGTTTCTAACCG